GAGGTATACCTAGGATGAAAATTACAGGCCTCTCTCATCTTTTTAAGTGGGAGAACTTGCACAATTGGTGGCTGACTAAATACTTTTTTGCCCCACTGTATGTATCCATTTAGCTTATTATAAGCAAAGTGGATAAATAAGGATACACACAATAAAAACACAGCGGGCAGACATTTTGAAGCAGTTGTGCTGTGTGTTTCAGAGTGGCACCCTGCAGAGCCTGGAGGAAGCGGACATTCTGGACCCAGAGTTCCAGCAGCGCTTGGAAGACGCTCGTACCTTGCTCAGGCAGGAGATCCAGCGGGAGTTGAAGATCAAGGAGGCTGCTGAGAGACTGCGGCGGGCCATCACCAACCGCAAGAGCGCCGCCGATGTGGAGGGCCAACTGAAGGCCTCCAACCGCAAGCTGGAGAGGCTACACCTGGAGCTGCAGGAGCTCAACGCCAGGTCCATGGCCACAGAGAAGGACAGCCCCACAGGTAAGTCAACACATCATGGTGGAGAGTGTAGATGTCACATAATATCCCTGCTTATTTTAGTTATCTAAGTGTTAAGCAATGTTTACTCAATGTGTGTCTCACTGCCTAAGAATAGTGTGCATGTTCACAGCATTAGGACAGATAGATAGAAATATACTTTATTGGGAAATTGTTTTGTTACAGCAGCAATGTGTTATCAAAATTTAATATTTAAAAGCCTTTCACCTAAGTATTGAAATGTGTTGATTCTTTGTACTTCTACTCCACTACCATTCAAAGTTATATTGTGTACTTTTACTTCACTATATTTATGTAATACCTTTAGACACTTTACAGATGTGGATGAATGATGTGAAATATAATCAAGTGTTAAATCAGACTTTAGTTCCACCTGGATTAAATCCACAAGCTACCCTGCAGAATACAAAGTCATTCAAACTAGCTGCACCTTTACCAGCTTTGAGAACACTTTCATGATCAATCATTATAAAACATATCATATCTATTATTCTGAAATGGACCAATCTGCATACTGAGTACTTCGGTTTTTTAAAGTATATTATTATGCCAATAATTGTGTACTTTTACTTGAGTAGAATTTGCAATGCAGAACTTTCACTTGTAACAGAGTATTCCTACACTCTGGTACTTCTACTTACTTTTTCACCCCTGCCTATTCCTCACCTTGCACTGTATTTGATCCAGGATGGATACATGTGTAATTAAAGGTTTGGTTAGTTTAGGGCACTTTGAATTTTCTAAATGTTGGACTTGGCTAGGTCGATTGGCAGGTGGTAGCTGTGCTGACAGAAAAGCCCCGTGCCATGTCAGGAATGTGTGAGTGTACCATTACTGCACCCTCTGAGTAACTTAAAGATGGTAAAATCACAAAAAGTCATTTAACCTTCGCGTAAGATTAGTATTATTATTTTCATGCAGGTTGTTTGGAGGAGGAATACAACCCATCAGCAGACTCCTGTCAGTGGGAGGACGTCAGCTCCCCTGCGGCCACTCGAGTCAGAACCCTGAAGAAACAGCTCACCATGGAGACCAAAGTCAAACAGGGCGCTGAGAACATGATCCACACTTACACCAACAGCTCCGTCAAGGTAGAGGACAATATTTGTCGAATTTGTTATGGTTTTATGGTGGGGTAGGTCCGACTCACTGGTGCTCTGAAGATGTCGGGCGAGGCTAAAGTCCTCCCAAAGTCTGCTGCGCCTAACCCAATCAACACCTCCCCTTTTACCATGTTAATGTGAATCTCTGTCATATGCCTTACAGTAAAAAGAAACAGACTGAAAGAGACATCAGGCAGGTTTATTTATGTAGCGCCTTTTTAACACAAGTCAATTCAAAGTGCTTCACAAAAATGAAAAACATTAAGAGCATTAAGAAATAGTGCAGCGGAAACATATTATAAAATGGCATTTAAAAACAATAAATAATAATAAACATAAAACAAGCTAATATATAAAATACATGAATAAAAGTTACAGT